GCAGGCCGGGGTTCAGGCAGGAGCAGGCACGGCTCTGCTCCACGGTGGCCGCAGCAGGGCAGGGGCGAGGGGACTTGGGCCAGGGCCCTGTAGTGACCCTCGCCTCCCCCAGGGGTCGGGGTGATCAGCATGGAGCGGGCCTACCCCCTCTTTCTGGGCTCCAACATTGGCACCACCACCACGGCCCTGCTGGCTGCCCTGGCCAGCCCCTCAGACATGTTGCTCAGCGCCGTCCAGGTACAGCCCATGGCCACCCCGAGGCTGGCCCCCAGCCCCCCAGAACCCCTGCCAGCACCAGTCTGGGGCTGCCGCTCGAAGCCAGTCCCCTTGTGTGCAGCCCTGTGGGCAGGAGGCGAGTAGCCTGCCCTAGGGCCCCTGGCTGGCCATGGCCACCTCCACCTGAGTGCCCTGACAGGTTCGCCTTCTGAAACCCCAATCATGCTGGGCTGCTGCCTGGCGCCACCGTGTCTCTCAGCTGCCCGCAAGAGGAGACAAGCCCTCCCGACTCCAGCCTGCACCCTTGCCTCTGACCTCTGACCGTCTCTGTGCACTCAGAGCCCCAAGCCCAGGCCCCTGACTCCTCTGAGCCCTGAGTCCTGCAGGCTCTGTGTTCCCTCCTCCCAACAGGAGCCACGGCCAGAACAGGGGCTGGGTGGAAAGCTCCCTCAGAGAAGGAAAAGGCTGGGGGCGGGGAGGGGGGCGCGTCTCCTAGGTGTGGGGCGCAGGCAATGCCCAGTCAGCCCAGGAGAGGGTCAGAACCACAGCAGGAGATCGCCGTGAGAGCAGTGACAGCATTGACCCACTGAAGTGTCGGACTGGGCCCCCACCACCCCTGGAGTGTGAGATGGAGTCCGCCCCTCCCAGGTGGTTTCAGCTCAGCCACTGAGCCAGACGGCAGACAAGCTTCAGACTTGGGGCCCTTGTTTCTGGGGGAGCGGGTGGGGGTCCTGATAGTTCAGGGTGGCCCTGCCTCACCGGGCCTGGTTCCTGACCTGTCCCCCGCCCGCCAGGTGGCCCTCATCCACTTCTTCTTCAACCTGGCCGGCATCCTGCTGTGGTACACGGTGCCTGCCTTGCGGCTGCCCATCCCAATGGCCAAGTATTTCGGGGACCTGACCGCCCGCTACCGCTGGGTGGCCATTGTGTACCTGCTGCTCACCTTCCTGCTGCTGCCGCTGGCGGCCTTCGGGCTCTCCCTTGCAGGCGGCGGGATGCTGGCCATGGTCGGGGGGCCCCTGGTGGGATTGCTGCTCCTAGTCGTTCTCGTCAGCGTTTTGCAGCAGCACCGGCCAGCCTGGCTGCCCCACTGCTTGCGCTCCTGGGCCTGGCTCCCCCGCTGGCTGCGCTCCCTGGAACCCTGGGACGGGCTGGTCACCCACTGCTGTCCCTGCCAGGCCTGCGGTGCCCCTCACGTCTCCCCCAAAGAGGCCCACTGCTACGAGAACCCCGAGGTGCTGGCCTCCCAGCACCTGTGAGGGGCAGCCACCCCAACAACCCGTCCCTGGCCTCCACTGGCCCCCCGGGCTGTGGAGAGTCCGCCTGCCCAGTGCCTCTGGGGTCCCCGGAGCCGCAGAGCTCTGAGTCACCTGCCTCCCCTTCTTTGCAAATAAAGGAAGCTGTGGCCCAGCCTCGGTGGTCTTTGCCCACTCCTGTGTGGGAGGCGAGATGGAAGACCCACTCCCACCCACCGCGCTTTCCCAGCCCTGCCACCCCTGGGGTTCCTGGAGGGCCACGGCCAGGACGAAGAAGCCCCTTTGCGTGCCCAGCCCCACTCGTGGTGGTCAGTCTGCAGGATGTCATGGGCTGAGGCCTTAGGTCCTGCCAGGTTTGGGATGGGGGGAGACAAAGAGTGCACTGGAGGGGGGTCACAAGGACAGGGTTGTCCCCAAAGCATCCCCGTCCGGTTTGGTTCTGTCTCTCTCTAGAACCCTCTTTCTGGGTGGGGCTCCAGGAACCTATCCTAGGCTGTGGGGGGCTGCCAAGGGTGGGCAGGGGGTGGGAGACCCCTGGGCTACAGTTTCCCAGGCATACCCCGCCTGTGCCTGCCCAAGCCACCAGGGGGTGCCACACGGCTCCCGACACCTACCCAGAAGCCAGTCCTGCTGGCGGGGCCACTGCACCTGGACCTCATACCTTGAGCCACCGGCCTTGCTAACCCTCTTCCAGGTCTGCAGTACCTTCTGAGATCCTGCACCTGGGGGTGCGCCTGCCCAGGACATGCCCCCAGAGCAGGTGGGCCCGGGGGGAGTGCAGGCCTGGTGCCCCGCTGCCCATGATCAGGTTTCCACAGGAAGGCTTGTCCTTGGCCAGTGGGTAAGTAGACACTGGGGGAGCGCCAGCCACTGCCTCGCACCCAGGGCTGCTCACACTCCAGCTGACCCCAGGGTTCCCACAAGGAGGAAAGCTCTAAGTGAATTATGTCCGTCACTCCAGAACCTGTTCCTTTAGCCAGGGCATGTGCGCAGACAAACAGACAGACTGACCCTCCCTCAGGGCTCGTCTGTCCAGCATGTTCCTACAGTCCGATGCTGTGGCCGGAATCCTCCCCTAATTCCAGGGCCACCCACTGCCCTGATGCAGGAGACCCACCTCTCCTCCCACCCCTCCTGGGAGCCCAGGTTTGCCAGATGGAGGGCAGGGGAAGCTGGTCAAGGAGACCAGGGCCATTTCTTGCTGAAGTCTTGTCTCTTTATTCCATCTTGGACCCCCTCAACTTCCCTGAGTCTCCTCCAGTTACCCCCAGTGTCTCCCAGGCTCTCTGTCCCCTCGGCCCCCCAGTGTTCCCCAGGCTCTCTCTGTCTCCTCAGCCCCCCAGTCCCCTATAGCCCTGCTTGCGAGGGCCTCCAGAGCCTAGGGTTCTGCCTGGCTAACCAGGGGAGGTGACACTGCTCTGGGAATTGTGGGGCCCTCACGAGTGGACTCCAGCAAGAGCCAGGGCCCCATGGCCAGCTCTGCACCCCAGTTTTGGTCCCACCCACTGGCCTTGTGGTACCCTCTTCCATCCCCTGGGAAGGGGCCAGGCCTGGCCAGTGCCCTGGGGAGGGTGAGGGGCCTCAGGGAGGCAGTGAGGCCCTCAAGGAGAGGGGGAGGAAAGTGCTCCGGACACCCCTCCTTCCGGAGCGGGTGAGGCTGCCCACAAAGGCTGACCGCTGGGTCCTTTGAGGCCGGAGGTAACGCACCCTCCCGCTGGGACCATGGCCACGGGTAAACAGAGCCGTCCTTGAGGACTCCGCCAACAGCTGCCGGCACGGTGGGAGGGGCTGGCCAGCACTCCCACAGCCAGGACACCGGATCCAGGGCACCTCCTGCCTGGGCTTCCCTGCCTCCAGCCATCCCTGCTCTGTGTTCCACCAGCCACAGACCCCTACCGGGCCCAGGTCCCAGAGGCTGCCCTCCTGCCCACACGGCTCATCTCTCCAGACTGGGGTCCCATGGTTGGCTCCAGGTGGGGAATTCCAGGCCCTCTCCCCACCAGCTCCGTGCCGCAGCTGCAGGCCCCCAGTGTCCTGTCCCAGCCAGCATTCACCACGCCAGGACAACGTGGGGGAGGACACCTGGTCCATGGAGGGCACTGGCTCACTCCCACAGCCTCTGTGTATCACCTGCAAAACGGAGGTGACATGCTGACCTCATAGCCCCAGGGGACCTGTCAGTTAGCAGCGGCTTTTCCCAGTGCTGAGGCCTCAGGCTGCACAGCATGAGGGGCAGGGAAGTCTGAAAAGAGGCAGGAATGGGGCGGGGCGGGGGAGTCCAAACACCTCCAGGAGCAACCCCGGCAGGCTGAGAGAAGAAATCAGAGCTTCCCCACCCCCCAACCCCGGATTTGTGACAACTCAGTGTTCTGCCTACTGCTTGGGCAGCTAAACGACTTTGCAGCCAAGTCAAGGGAAAGCTGTGGGCATCGTGAGGACCCCAGAAGGACAGGATGACCCTCCTTACCCTCCAAAGGACACGACCTGTCTTGGGTGGTCAACAGAAGCCAGACCTGCCTTCCTAGGTGGCCAGTGGGGAGGGAGTGGTTACCTGGCCCTGTGGGGACTGTGGAGCACATTGACAGACCAACTCGCCCCCAGGCCAGAACAGCGGGCATTGGCCAAGAGACTCAGGGTGAGCACAGCTGCACACTCTCAGTGGACAGAAACGCTGGCCTCTACGTTGGGCTGCTGCTTGTCCTGGAGACTCTGACCCAAAGATGACCTGTTTCTGTCCTTGGAACCACACAAGAGTATGCTTAATTAACCCTGAAGAAGGGACAGTGCTCCCCCGAGGAAGAAACAGAGCAGCAGGTATTGCCCCCGACACCCTGAGTCAGGAAGCCAAGGGGCTGAGAAGTTCAAGAAAACCAGAATCCAGAGACACCCTGGTCCCCACTCCCCTCCCCCACCCCCAACAAAACAAGGGAGACTGTTCAGGGCAGTCCCAACGGTGTATCTTATTGTTTCTAAAACTTTACAAAAATACAATGCAAATGTGTAGTTTTTTAAAAAAATAATTGATTAAAGGTGCAACCACATGTAATTAAATTTAACTGTTATTCCTTTATAAAGTCTCCCCACCCCCGATATAAATTAGGGGAAAATATAAGCACTTCTCAGCTCAGGCGTGCTGAGCTGTGGTTGGGGCTGAGCCATGGAGCCCAGAGAAGGATCCCATGCTCCCGGAGGGAGGTCCCGCGCTCGGACGCCGCCCTGGTCTCCAGGCAGCCCGGTGCGCTCCTGGAGCACGGGCACCAAGGCGACGGGCGCCGGGCCAGCGTCTCTACAAACACAGCCCGCGAGCAGCTGCCAGGGGCAGGGCCCCCGGCCTCGGCCGGATCCGCTCGTCGTAATCGCTCCCGGGGAGCAACTGAGGGGGAGGAGGAGGCGGCCCCTGCGCTAGTACTCGGGCACCCCGCACCCACGGGCGCTGCGTCTTCAAAAGCAGCCGGCGGGGCAAGGGCCAAACTCGGCCCCAGGTGCGCCCCTCACCTGACTGCGAGGGTCGCGGGGCGTGCGGAGCAGCCAAGGGAGGCAGGGAGCCTCCCGCCTCACCTCCATTGGTCTCCGCTGTTGGGGGTGCAGGGGGAGAGAAAGGTCCCCTCCTCCACCAGCACTCCTGTCCCAGCGCCACCGCCCCTTTGGCACCGGCGCCTTGTTTATTTTTTAGCGTTAATAGCAACGTGCCCCTCCCTGCCTGAAGACCTCCAGGGGCTCGCCCGCGCAGGGACCTCTCCAGGGTGGCCCCAGCCCGGCGGGCTTGCCTCCCTGAACCCAGCCGCCCCCACCCCCAGGGCTCCCGCACAGCGCAGACACCAGCTGGCGCACTGGTCTCGGTTCCGTGCCGACCCGAAAGAGCCACCCTGGAGAAGGAGCACGTGCTGGGCCCAAGGGCAGCCAGACTCGCCGCCCGAGGCCGGCGCGTCGGCCTCGACACGACGCCGCACCCGGGGCTGCAGTGACGCGCTACGGCGCGCGCGCGAGGGCCCAGCCAGGCCGTAACTTCGGACTCGGGGCGCCGCCCTCCCTCCGTTCCCCGAGCCCAGACCCTCCTCGGCTTCCGCTCTGGGACCAGGCACGCCATGACCTCTCTGGGCCTGCCCTGGCCCACGCCGCCCCACACGGGCTGTATCCCCCGCCGCCCGGCCGGAAGCCCGC